GGAAAACAAACACCTTGAGCCCTGAAGATGATCTCAATAAAGATCGAAACGTTGACATGATAAAGAAAATGTTTTTCTAAAACTTACGTCACACCAGACCTCATCTCACGATCTCCGAATAATCATGGACCAACGGTCACTAAACACCACACCAAGTACAATGAACGTCTAAGTGTCAAAACCTTAGACACTGCCGTCTGAAACGAGCTTGAGGTAAAAACACTTTTGTACATGGTACAAATTTGTTTAGAGTGTAAGCAACTGGCGTTTAATTTTTTCTCTCTTATCTATTGCGACGATGCGCGTAAGAGAAAATATAATGTTTGTGATCGACCTGCAGGCAATCTACGTAGGGTTCCAATCTTCGTAGAGGTCATTAGACAGGTGGAAAAAGACTAAATGCTGGATTCACCGAGCTTCGGCAACTTATAGTGCCATCATCGGGCCGATTATCGGCCGGTTGAACCTGGAATCGTGTTTTATGACGCCGGCTTACGGTGACATTCCGAGCAGATAATTCGCGAGTGTTAACACACGAATCCAGGATTATACTCTTGACTAATCCCACAACATCGACCATTGAAGCGTGACACGTTCGAGGCTTATCTCAAAATCCTGTGTTCTCAGGTGTAATGTACCAGCTCTGCCGTATTACGATATAGTACCCTTTCACTGCTTACGTGTACTTTCTCTCTCACAATATTCGTACCCTTTTAGTTCAGCAGTGCATTACAATCCCGATAATAACGATTCAATTGAAGGTTCAATTTAAATGGTTAAATAATAAAGCATAGCGGTAGGGATAAATGAGGCGGCCGTAAGGCCTCGACCTGTGAACCTACTGTGGATCTGTTGTGCTCCTCTAATATGTATAACGCACTCGCCAGCTTGAGGTTGTTTGTCAATCTCCATAGCCTTGCCAACGGCTCCTTGGTGTAGGATACTGCTTGCCGCCTCCTACTTAGAAGAATCTATTATCTCAAATCCTGTGTTCTCAGGTGAAATGTAAAATAGACCCTCACAAAAGCATAGAATGTGTTCTGCAGTCTCCTCTTCTTCCTGGCAGTATCTACACTCTGTTTCTTCTGTCAGTACACCTATCAGGTGTTTGTGCCTTCTCAGGCTGTACTGCTTTGTCAGAAATACAACCAGAATCCTGGTTCTGTTATCGGTTACCTAAGAGCAATTCCTTTTGTAAGTTTTGCGGATGTCCTTTCTATAAATCTCTTCACCTGCCTCTTGCCAGGGGTGTTGCTCTACCAAATTTGTGCCTCTTTGGATGTATCCTTTCTTCTGGCAAGGCGCTAGGCCACAGTAGGGTTCGGGCTTAGAGAATACGAATTTTTTTTTGGCAACATGTCCAATTTCTCATTTCCAGAATGTCCAGGGATAATGTCAGGGTCAAGTCATTGGTATCACTGTCATCTGGCAGGGATTCTATATAATTCCATACGCTTTTTGCCTCATATGACCTCTTACGGTGACTTTCTTTTACCTCGTATACCTTAATGCAGCCTGATTGTCAGAAAAAATGGCTATCCTCCTGGAATGTGTTTTTAGTCTTTTTCTGGCGCAGTGTTCAATTGCTACGATTTTAGTCTGAAAAACTGTACCCTATTTACCTAAGTTTAATTCAGTTCAGCCTTCGAATTCACACCAAGGATTCCAACTCCGGTGCCTTTGTCCGTTTTTGAGCCGTCAGCATACTAGTTCTCACTACTCTTAACAGGCATACTTAAATCACATAAAATCAAATCAAGGTAAGGTGCTCAACAGCATTAATAATATCTAACGCCCCCTTACTGGCTTTAAGTAATCAAATCAAATGATTTAAGGTAATTTCTCAGTAAGGAACGAAAAGGAAACGAAAGGTATTGGCTTCAGAGGTATTCCTATGGCCCCACTCTTCCTTTCCTGGTACAAATACCTTGGCCTGTCTTGTATGGCATCTGCCTGTAACCCCTCCCTCAGTTTCCGTTGTTCGTTGACATGGCCTAAACTTGCACATGGCTGTCCATTTATGAGCATGTGAGTCGCTGATCTGGGTTCTCCTTGGGTTTGAATAAGGAATGGTGGAAGGTTCTTCTCTAAGCTCCAGTGATACTGAGGCAAGATTGTCATTGAGCGCCACCTAATAGGCTGATTGCCTTAGTCTGCAAGGTCGCTCCACTTCACCACCGACCCCCCATATGTCAACTTTGGAGTTATAACACATGTGAAGAACCATAGTCATTTTGGGGTTTAGTCCCACAGCTTTTAGCACAGAGCCTTTCACCTCCCCCAGACAATTTGGGCTCTTTAGGTAGTTTTAATTTAGATAGAGAAAGGACCTGCGCTTGGTGGCCTTTTACCATTACGGTAAGATCGTCCTAGACAGTAGAATCCTTCTTGTTCCAGTATTTGTAGGAGTTCATCTACCAGTGTAGGCCAAAGCAATGGTGAAAGAACCACTCATTGTTGGCATCCTCTGGGTGAAAGCTTGGGTGGTTATCCCGTCGGTTGTCCTTGTTATGTGTTACTTGGTTATGTGTTTACAGAAGTCGACCAGGGCCAACTCTGTGGATCTTCCTGGTTGGTATGCGTATTGTAGATGGGTTTGTTCATCAGTGATTTTCCTCTGATAGAGAGTCTTTCTAAAGTTTTTAACATGAACATGTAACGAGAGGTCTGTACGATTTAGGTCTGTAGTCAGTGGGACGTCCTAATTTGGTATACACCACCCGTATCTCCTGCTAGTAGTTAGAGATATAGCTCCACGCTAAGTAAGTTCTGGATATTCTCACTAAGTATGAAATGGGTATTTCTTAGAGTAGATTCCATCCGCTCCTGGCGTCTTGTATTGGCCGAATTTCTCAATTGCCCAACTTTTGTACTATGCTCCTTCCTTTCTTTTTCCGTATAATAAAGAATATCAGGTCATCAGATCGTCCTACAACAAGTTAACAGCTTAACGTAATAATCTATCCGCTTTTCAAATGTGCAAACAACCTGCAAGGATTGATATAGTCATAATTAAGAATTGCTAAATCGTGCTAGTCCACAAACAAGAAAGGACATTCAAAATCATTTTAATTGGAGCCAGTACGGAAAATGTACAATTTCAAGGCTTTATTCATCGCTGTTTACCGCGTGTCCTACTAAAAATTGAAGGCGTGAAACCGATTTAGTGAAGGTCGTTGAAAAATAAAAACACTTTCATCACAATATTTAGTCTCGTCCTTTGTGCCCACCACGGTATCTCTTCTATAAACGCTGAAGAAGAAGTTCATCCCGTTCGGCTCAGATTTCTAGTTTCTCTTTTGTCCGATTCTTCTTCTATTTTGAATGTAGGTTTTACGCTTTGGAATGACACGTTCTTTTTCCATTTTCCCCTGTGTCCGTCCATTTCTGACATTTCACTGCTTATATTTTACTTTCTTGATTTCTTTCTGTAATTTCCGTACTTTTCCTTATTATGGCGACAAGGATTTTTGATGAGGCGTTTTTTAAAAATATACGGATAATCAAGTCAATCTGTTCTGTATAAGAAAAAGAAGTCGTATAAAATACATTTCAGTGTGGACTTGAATCCTCCCGGGAAAAACGGTAAACTTCATTTTTCTATTAGAGTGGCAGACCATTTTCTGTTATGATCAAACGCATCTGACCTAATATAGCAAGAATAGTGTGACGACGATAACTTTTTTAACAAGGTCTTCCAATATTATCTCTTCCATCACAACAGCTCAAATAATATTACTAACCGGGGGCGTCGGTGCTGCAACGGTTTAGGCGTTTGCACGGCGCTCATCATTGTAAGATAAAGGTCCTGGGTTCGAATCCAACGGACCTGCATTCGAACCCGACAAACACCGGCACCCTGAAGGTTTATATGACCTCTGCTGTTGCGAACCCTCGTAAAAAAAGGCTTTTTCTCCTCTGGACACAGGTTGTTTATTATCAACCGATACTCGACCCGGCATTGCCTTATTCCTGATTCCCATAATAGCAATAATACAAATTATTAATTTAAAATAGATGCTCATATGCGAAGTTGAATTTAATGTTTTGTTTTGTATTTATAATACATACGAATTTCTCTTTTCTCCTTATAATCCTTTGAAATCACACGAATGGCACTTGGCATGCGTCCTTGGCAATGTTGGGACTGTGTCGGTCTTCTATTAAAAGCTTAATTATAACTTAATTATCTTTGTATATATTTTTAAGATTGTTTTGCCCTGATGATAACCTTAAAATAGGTCGAAACCTTGGCAGATAACATTTGGATATGTTTTTCATCCAGACCAAACCGTGATCCAGATTATTCGTGATTAAAAAAAGTGGTCGATACATCCAACCCTTTAAACATTAAATCCATTAAATTTCGTGGTCCGATTGACCAAATAACTTGTTACAATTAATTAATCTTTATGTAAGGTATTGGTTGAAATGAAAAAGTCAGTGCCACGAGCGGGATTCGAACCCACGACCTTCGGCTAAATACGCCGCTGCTCTACCACTTGAGCTATCGTGAATTCAATCCACTCGGACACTTACTCCCCATCTCAACCTACCTTTCGAATTTTCCCTCCTTTTTGCCATTTTTCCTTTCAACTAATACCTTACACAAAGATTAGTTAATTGAAAGAAGTTATTTGGTCAATCGGACCACGAAATTTAATGGATTTAATAAGTAAAACGAAGTATATATTCACTAAAGCTTTCCGTGGCCATTTCATTTGTCGCCGAGAATCAAATCCTGATTACATTGAAAAATAGCAAACAGGAGGGAAAATTAGAACGGTTGTAAGTTGGGATGGGGAGTTGGTGTCCGAGTGGATCGAAGTCACGAAAGCTCAAGTGGTGTAGAGCAGCGGCGTATTTAGCCGAAGTCGTGGGTTCGAATCCCGCTCGTGGCACTGACTTTTTCATTTCAACCAATACCTTACACAAAGATTAATTACTTTAAACATTCTTTGAAATGACAGGAATCAGTGTGTTACCTTACCTCTCCCTGATTACTACCATGACGGAAATCATATGGCACAACTAAATTATCATAAAGCAAATTATTTTAATCAGCAAAACTTTTGAAACAATGCTTACATAATAATGGAATTTTGCCAGTTGATAAAGTAGAGCAAATGAAGAGAACAGTAAGCGTTCAAGTAGGAACGATACGAGTTTGGGACAACGGTGCCTCGGAAACCACAGGCAAATCAAACCGTACGTATTTCACGGGCTTTGGGTTTCAGTTGACACGCATCGGTTGAGTCAGAATCCCGAAAGGAATTCAAATTTTTTATTGTTTACAAAAAGGATTTTTCTTAATTGCTGCTTTCTTCTCAGGTCGAAGATTTATAATGTACTAGCTTTCTGCGGTCTCGCCAATTGATTTTATTTTATGGTCAATTCTTCCCAGTCCACTTACCGTACAAATGTTTTAACAGGGCCGTGCATTTTATGGGTTACGTGCCGACAAAGTCTGGCAGAAAGCGATATGGTCGTTAACACAGGATAAAACTCGAGATGAATTTTTATCGGCGTTCTCTTGGACAGTTTCACATTTCATGGACATTACCGACTTTCTCAACTTTTTGTCAAGAATTGTTTCTATTTAATCGTGTCTTTTCTCGATTTCCAGGCTTTAGCAGAGTTTGGAGGAGAACTGGGAAGTTTCTGTGCTATAGATCAAGATTGTACTGTGCAGAATAGCAGGTGCAATCATGGAACCTGCGCCTGCTTACCTTACTACGCCAACTACAACAACACGCAATGTTTGCAATGTAAGAAATGTTCAAAATAAAAAACTTTTTCTCAGAATTTTTTATTGTCATATGAAAGTGTATATTTTTATAGTTTTACAAAATAATGTTATTAATAAACGAATAAAATTATTGATTTAATATAACAATAATGATATCGACAATAAATTGGAACCCTTGAGACCACAAATTGTCTGTTTAAGGGATACCTTTACAAAGAAAGAAAAACCATTTTTGAAAGATATAGCATATGTAATAGATTATAAACGCACTTTTTCGTTTGCCTAACTGTCCAAGCAACCATAGTTTTATTATTTCATTAAAATTACCCGTCCTCAGTTTAGATTTTTCCACAGAGGGCAATTCATTTATCTATTTAGGACCAACATACAAAAAACAATTCAAAATCAGGGTAAATTTTGGTTGGGGGAGTTTGACATTGTATAGATGTTTTAAGTTATCATTTAAATGTAACGATGAACAAGATTATCGACCTGCTGGATACAAGAAGTCTTTTCAGAGGATCTTCGGAAGAGGTCAAAACAGAGAAAACTTCCTTACGGTTTTCGCCGAGCTTTCGACAGTTTTATACTGTCATCTTCAGGGCTTTAAAACCTTAATAGGAAATTAAACAAATTTTGGGCACAGAAGTACATTATGTTTTTTTTTTTTTGTAGTAGCCTTTGTTTCCCCTCGTCGTAGAGAGTTTGTTTTTATCGGTTTTTATTGATTTGATCTGTGATCCTACTGTATTGTTATTTAAATTTTAAAATAAGTTAATTGTATATGTATATATATATATATATTTGGGAAACGTACTGTGATCACATGTACCTGAAAAACTAAAAAAGGAGGATTTTATTGGTTTTTTAGACTTATATGAGATGCTGAGCCCCAAAAAACATAATGTACTTCTGTGCCCAAAACACCATGTTGTTTAATTTCCTATTAAGGTTTTAAAGCCCTGAAGATGACAGTATAAAACTGTCGAAAGCTCGGCGAAAACCGTAAGGAAGTTTTCTCTGTTTTGACCTCTTCCGAAGATCCTCTGAAAAGACTTCTTATCATTTAAATGTTTATAGTTTTCAGTAAAATTGCCGTTTCTATTAAAACATTCACGGAGCGTTTTGAGCACAAAAGGATAATCATTTTTTTTAAAGACAACATACCCTTAGACAGGATTCATAGAAGAAGTCAAATAGTGTCTCGATGTTACTAAAATTGTCCCCAGTATGATTTTTAAATTATTTGCCAACTTGAACTTATTTCTTAGGTCTGTGTATTTTTTGCATGTTATTAAAACATATTTAACAGTGATTATTTCTCCGCAATCCGGACACGCTGGAGCAGGCTCCCGGGACATAAAGTGACCATGCGTCAATTGACAGTGCCCTATCCTCAGTCTAGCTAAAGTTGTTTCTTCTTTCCAGGGTTTTCGTAAGGATGTGTCCCACTCTTTGACAAAACCGTTAATTTCCCGAAGTTTGTTATACCTCACTCTCCGCCACTCAATTTCCCATTGTGACCATATAACTTTAATAAATGAATTAAAATCTTCATAAGGTACTTCAATTATTTTATGTCCTGTTATAGCTTTCTTTGCGGAGCGGTCAGCTTCTTCATTCCCGATTATGCCATTATGACCCGGGATCCATAAGAATCACACGGACTGATTTTTAAATTTGCTTGCTATCGTAAGAAGACTATCTTGTACTGTAGAATTAGTCGTGAAGATGTTTTTAAGGGTGCAGATGGCAGAGAGAGAGAATCGGAACAAACTATTAGATTAGGGGGCTTGTAGTCTCCCACGCTGAGACATTTTATGGCTAGTAGTTCAGCTGTAAAATTACTACAGACCATTGGCAAAGAGAACATCATTTACCTATTGTTACAGACGACCAACGCCATCATTTCCTTTTGATCCATCGGTAAATACTAAAGTTGAGCCCTTATAAGAGCTTATTAATTTAAGGAATTCTTCTCTATACACGTCGACTGGTCGACTGGGGTGGTATCTCTTGGAAAACGGTTCAAAGAGAGATAGATCTATGCTATGGATGACAATTAGCTATGGAGGTATATGGAATGTGTGTTTTTTGAATTTTTGGAAATTCAATGGAATGGTTTTCATTAACAAAGGGTAAAATTCTAATTGCAAAGTGATGTCTAGTGGTTTTTGTCACATTCCATTCTTAGTAAGGAATAGTAGTCACGTAGTCCTTAAAATTCTTTTTGGAATTACAGTGATAGGACTGGCCACACATTCATAGGCACACCTCCAACAAACTACACCGTACAGGATGTGGGACTGGATAAGGGCATAATAAAATTTAAAAAGTACGGCTCTATTGCATTTATTGCGTAAAAAGTTTATATTCCTTTGGCCATGCGACAACTTTTTTTAACTATCTCAGTGTGTTCAAACCGCTTTAATTGAGCATCTATATTAACACCCAAATAGGTTGTTTTATCAACTCTTTCAATATTGAAACATTTATTACAATTCGTAAGATAGGTACAATCCGAACAATGAAATTTGATTTTTATATATATCCATGTCAAGTGGTCTTCGAACAGTAAAGTATACACATTTGAATTTTGTACTAAGATATAAACGATTTTGTGAAAACCATTGCTCAAAAGAGTTTACGTCGCTAACTATATGCTCCTTTACCTCCTTCCACGTACTTGCTTTATATTCAACTGATACATCATCAGCAAAGGTGGTTTTTTGAAATTTTTAAAACGGTAAATTAAAATTACATCACCTCCTCCGATGCTTGTCCCATTTAATTTGAAAAAAAAAAGTTAGGGTTTATCCAAAGGCTGACAATGGATATTCTTTGCACAGCCGGCTTCTCTGTTAAAAATTCACAGGACGCCTTTTGCTAATGCTTTTGTCGCCGCTTGAGAATGTCCATCAGGCCAACGTCCTTCATTAAAACATGACAAACATCCAACTTTAAAACAGATTAAACGAACCAGGAGGATTGATTCTCATGATAATTTTACGTTCAAACTGTTAGTAATTAATTAGTCTTATTAATATTTTTAGCAGGAGAAAACATTTTTGACTTATGACTGTAAAATAACTCTATGATGTAAAGTAATTTTTAAAATATTGTTTCAGCAACTCTTATGGGCTCCCCTTGCATCATTTCTGAGCAGTGTTGGCAAAAGGTAGCAAACAGCGTCTGTCACGCCGGCGTCTGCAGATGCAGCAAAGGATATCTTCAGTACAGAAGGCATACCTGCGTGCCGCGTAAGTGGTAGAATGATTATCTGATTTTATTCGGCTCAGGTTAAAGCTTTTTAAGCCTGTCCTTTATAGGCGGTAATCCCCGTAACTGGCAAATGGGGGTCGAACTAATTGCGACAAAAACTATCATTGTTGTACGTCCTTCCTCGATTTTCCCCTCAGTTTTTTATCCGGATAACCTTTAATGGATGTTTGACGTAGATTTTTTTACTCCTTCGCATATTCTCGTAGTATAAACAGTTAATTAAATTTAAAATTAATCTAGAAAAAAAAACGATAACGCTGACAAGGGTAAATAGAATATTTTACTTGGTTAATTTAGTAAAAGTCTAATCGAATCAAGTAGGATGATGTATTTTGCTTGGTGGCGTGACTACTCAATCGGTAAATGGTGTCCAGAAAGCCGGCATTGAGCATAAATTATGCTCCGGCTTCCTATCTCGATTTCACAAGAGCTAATGGGTCAATTCAATTATGGAAATGGTTTCCTGATGTTTAGTTTTTGTTGCCTTTTAACCCCAATTTTCAATATGCGTTATTGACGAAACAAAATTCTTAAATGTGATTGATTTAATTTAAACTGGGGTTTTAATGATATCTTTGTGCATATAAACAGAGGTTTCAAAAAATTAATTAAAATAAGCTATTGTTTTACTACTTTTACCAAACATGGCTCAGGTTTAAACTAGGTCATCACTAGTACATTTCTATTTTAGAGAGGCAAGACGCTTACATATTCCAGCTTTGTTTATATGCATGTAATTTGTCCACCTGCAGTAGATGGCATTTTTTTCAAATATAAAATTTTCTCGCATTGTATAAATTCATAATTTTTTTTCCACATTCTACATGTATTTGTAAAATTTTAAACAATGTTTATAAATCCCAGGCCGTGAAGATGGTCTCAATAAAGCTCGAAACGTTGGCACGATAAAGGAAATGTTTTTGTAAAACCTACGACACACCAGACCGCACCTGACGATCTCCAAATAATCATTGGCTAACGGTCGCTAAACACCACACATCTTTTACACCATTCAAAACATTACACAAATTAAAAAGGAAAATGACTGAAGATCAAATAAGCCAACTAGATCAATAAACAAAACTCAACTTACACATGAACACGCAGAGAAACACTACTAATTCCGAACCCAGCCCCACACACCATGCACAACCCCTTAACTAAAACTTCACCCCACAGAAATCACCCACACCTAGCACTGAAGATTGCCAAATGTCGTTACCCATCATTTTGTTCTACACAGACCAACACTAAAGATGGTGAATAGCCGAAATGCGTCTGACAGACCAATCTAGCGATGATATACAGACCAAAATAGTCCGTAAAATAAATCGATTTAATTATTTGGGCTATTTTGTGTTTTTGTCTCTATGCAATCTTTTCACGCGGCTTGAACTCAAATAAAAATTCCCGGATGAAATCAATGTGTATTCCTCGTCGGTGTATATATTATTTTAGTTAGCGTGGCGTTGTAAGGCGATGGAGGGGCTGGCTGATTCCTTAAAGCGATAATAGTATGAAAATTGTACTGGTAAATCGATATCATTTAACGTCCTCACCTGTTGCACGAAACTCCTACGATAAATATTTTTCTATTTAACTTTGATCTACGTTTATTTTTCAATTTATTACATTTCAAGAGGTGGAATCGTCGTGTGAAAACGTTTACAACATTCCAATCATTCATTCACCTTTGTCTCACCTGCCACAGCAACGAAATTCTATTAAATTGTGCTGTTTTTCAATGATGAACCTGTAGTTTGGCAGTTTCTGATCATTCTGAACTGCATGTCTTCGCTGTTTTGGCTTTGTTTTCTCTGTTTTCAGTGATAAAAACAGGTTGAGCTTTGTGAGAGAGAGTTATTATTATATTGAAAAATGCCCAAAAAGGAGGGAAAATTCAAAAGGTAGGGTTGAGATGGGAAGTTGGTGTCCGAGAGGATCAAAGTCACGATAGCTTAAGTGGTAGAGCAGCTTCGTATTTAGCCGAAGGTCGTGGGTTCGAATCCCGCTCGTGACACTGACTTTTTTATCTCAATCAAAACCTTAATTAAAAATTAATTAATTGAAAAGGTTTATTTGGTCAATCGGAATTTTTTTAACCTAGGGTTAAATATGTCGAGTTCGAATGCAGGGCCGCTGGATTCGAACCCGGGACCTTTACCTTACAGTGATGAGCGCCGTGTCAACGTCTAAACCGTTGCGGCCACCGACGCCCCAATAGAAATTATTATAGTTTCAGTTGGTTCTATCCAACGTAACGTACAGTAATCATTTTGTTTTAATCAATTTGCAATACTTGGTAGATATAAACTATTACCATTAATTGATTCAGCACACAACAAGGGTGTTGTCTAGACAAATGTAATTTAAAAAGGGTCAATGAATTGTTTGTTATATCCCCTGCACCCATTAACCGTTTACCTTATAATTCAAACATAGTCCAGCGAGAGCAAAATCACCAAAAATGTCCAATTATATGAAACTACAGGCTAAAATCGAGAATACTCAAGCTGCCACAACAGAGAGGTGTCATAAGAAGAAGATGTAGATCAATATCATTAGTTCAAAAATGGTGTTGAACTGCAAAACCAAAATAAACATATTAAGCAAGCAGAGCAGTCAGCCTCTGCTGGGTCCCAGGACATATGGGGGTAGAAGGCAACGAGAAAGCGGACACACTTGCAAGGAAAGGACCTGCTACACCGCTGATAGGACCTGAACCCTTCTGTGGCATAGGAACCCACACTATTAACGAATATCTCAGACAGAAGGACAAAAAGAAAATGAAGGAACAATGGAGTTCACTCATTGGACAGAGGCAATCCAAGAATCTCCTAACAAATTTCGGAAGAAACTGAATGTGTCAAAACAAGCGGAAATAAACTGCGAATCCATAGAATTGTTAACAGGACACTGCAAGCTAAATGGACACTTAAAGAAGATTGGAATCATCTAAGACGGCACATGCAGATTCTGCAAAGAGGCAGAGGAGACACCAACACATCTACACAATACTATAATGGAGGGGAAGAACACAGGAGAGCATCAGATACAATAATATGGTATACAGATAGCTCCAAAACAAACGAAGGATCCGGATCAGGCGTTTTCTGTGCAAGCCAAAAACATGAGCAATCAACCTCATTAGGGAAGTACACTTCGGTCTTTCAAGCAGAAATCATGCCATCAATGCTTGTGCCCTGGAAAATCCTAAAAGAGGTTACACTGACAAAAAATTCTCATAACATCTGATAGCCAAGCAGCCATTAAAGCATTAGCATGTAAAAGAATCACATCAAAATTAGTCAGTGAATGCATCCAAAATCTCCAAAACCTGGGGAAACACAACAACCTGATTATATCTTGGGTGCCAGGGCACGGGAATTTTGGTTAACGAGAAAGCAGACAGACTGGCCAAAGGAGGATCTGCAAGACCATACATAGGCCCCAAACCTATTCTTGGGATAACAAAAACAAATATAGAATCCTCCACTAGCGGTGCTAGACATAGTAAACATATGATGAAACCCTCACCGAGACTGGCAAAAGCATTGCTTCAATTGGAGAGGGCCAAACTCAGAGGAGTGGTAGGTCTACTAACCGGTCACTCGCATCTGAGAAACATCTACACAACATGGATATATACAAGGATGATGCCATTTTCAGATTATGTAATGTGGATGAGGAACCAGCCATCCATATCATCTTCGACTGCGAAGCAACAGCTCGATGCTACCTAACATACGAAAAAACTTAGGGAATGAAATGGTAGCAGCGGCAGTCAATGACCTGATACTTCTAAGGAGAAGGATTGAGTCTATTGCACTGAACTAAGGAACTAAGAAGGTACAATAAGCCAAAAAGCTGCAGTCCCTGGGGAGGGCAAACCCCGCTTCCTAGTATTCTTTTTACTATACCATACCATACCAACATACCTACTAATAAACTGCATTGCTACACTTGCCCGCAAGAGGAAGTGCTTTGGTATGTACAATGTGACCATAGAAGAGATTCAACCATTGAAACCAGGCCTATTAATCAAGTTCTTGGTGAAATAGAAATCACTTGTGTGCTTTAGGCAGGGAACGAGGGATACAATAGCTCTTAAAGGGCGCAGTATATACTGTATATATGCGCAGTATATATACCCCGACTGTTTATTACGTCTACATCTAAGAAGAAGATACTTCGATTGGGATCTATCACAGTGAAATCTAGTTTATACAAAGTTCAAATGTTACAACCATCGGGTTATTCTCCATCCTAACTATGTTACTCATTTGTTGTTTTCCTTAACTTAATTGATTAGTTATTTAATTAACATGAACACGGCGACCTTTGAGCTACAACTAAATCATATCCATTTGATGCTGTTTAATTTAAATTAAGTACCAACATTTTTAATGCTTTTTGAATTTTTGAATTAAGGTATAAGGCGGATGATACTACAGAAACGAATAAATACGATTAATCAGGGCAGAAAAGGTAACGCTTGTTGACTCTATCGAGTATTATTGACTTTTGCATTGTTTGAGTTGAATTTTAAGTAGGTCTGTCAATTGAAAAGTTTGGATTTGAAGTATTATATGTTGAAAAAAAATGTGTTTCTTAAGGAAGTTTTATTGCATGTTGGCAAGAAACCTAGCTTAATAAAATGCTTAATATTTAAAAGTAACCGGATGAGAATATGAAGACCAAATTGGTCGGTTTAGGTAAAAATTGAATATCCATTGACACAAGAATAAATAAAATATTTGACCACTTGTTCATCTAGATCATTTAATAAAATTAAAAACAACAAAATAAAGATTGTATCAAATTAGCATTCTTATTTGGTTTAATAACGTCATTCTAATACAGTTTAAATTCGTCAAAACTATTTGAAATACTTTAAATCAATTGTGCACATGTTTTTTCCGTGCAGCATTGAACACAGTTGCGTGATTGAAGATTTATTCCGACGTTGATTAAACGGAAGTCATTCCAGTGAAATTTAGTCATGACAAGAGGAAATGTCGCTCACTGAAGATCCGTTAAATTGTCCATTTGTAGACTTTGTTCTATTTCTTTCGCTTGCTTTATTTCATCGACCAAATCAAAATTAAGTGGGTCTACATAAGAATTTTTTTTTTATTTCACATTTTAATAAAATTATTTACTTGTATTCCATTGCATGCGATTGCAGATTCATTTGTCCATGATCGACGCGATACAGAATCCAATTTTTAATGTCGGTCATTAATCTTCAAAGGAATCGATCGTTATCGTGATTCTTTGAAATAACAAAGAGAAATGATTTCTCTTAGTTTGCTCTTGTTAAATCAGCATGACGCCAGAATTTAGAGACAGTAGAGATATGTACCCAAATATTTGCAACAATGACTAAATTTACCCTTTATTAGGTTCGTTTTGAATTATTCCAGACAAAGAGATTAATTCTATTCGAAAGTTTTGATCTAATTTCATTTTCAAACTTGTTCACATGAGTTATGCTTGCTATGTAAGGTATGGTTGAAATGAAAAAGCTAGTGTCACGAGCGGGATTCGAACCCACGACCTTCGGCTAAATACTCTGTTGCTCTACCACTTGAGCTATCGTGACTTCGACCCACTCGGAAACCAACTTCCCATGTCAACCCAACCTTTCGAATTTTCCCTCCTTTTTGCCATTTTTCAAAGTCGTGTTATCAGGATTCGATTCTCGGCTACAAATCAAATGGCCACGGAGAGCTTTAGTGAAGATATACTTCGTTTTACTTATTAAATGGGAAAATTCAATCGGACCACGAAATGTAATGGACTAGTTCACATATTTTGGAATCTACATACGCGTGTAATAAATAATGACAAAATTGTTCATTGGCCTAACGTTATTTTAACATGAAACACAAAAATACTGGTTTTCCCTAGTTTACTGTTAGCGTTTACTAGCGTTTACTTTATAAAAAGCGTTTTTTTTTCTTCTGTATATTCATATTTTATCCAATTTAATCTTTGATCGATTTTTCTTGTTGAGCATAACAAAAATTACTTCAGTCTTGTATCCGCCAATAAGACAATTGGTATATTCGTATCTTCCACACGGTACCAACACTTGTATTTTCACGATCAGAATATTCCCACAATAAATGCATTCTAATCGGCTAAATAGTCAAATGTGATACCCAAATCCGATATTATATGTATTTGTTCAAACCGCTCATAACCAGTGCATTCACTCTAATAAATAGTTTTACTTAGTCAATTCCAAAATATTTATATAGTGGATTATATTTATTCACTTTAAGATGCTGCTTTGTATATATGACACACGTATGTGAGTTTCGGTTGATTCCTTTGTCAGCGATATTTGTTCTGTTTAATAAACTTGCATGGATAGAATAATATTCCGTCTGTGTTTGTGAATTTGTTTTTATGTTACTTTAAAAAGTAATAAACCTATTGGTTTAGAGCAAAAATTAGATTTTATAGTGTGTATTTGTGTGTTTTATATGTACATATGTAACTACTTTTTGTGTGTATATTTATATACAATTCAAACGTTTTTAAGAAAATCTCGTTTTGAGACATACTCAGGGTGAAATTGTCAATTAATTCGTTAGTGGGAAACTATTGACGTTTAAAATGAAACATGTTTCCTTTTATTTTTCATATTATTTTTATCGTCGATGTTTCAGCTGCGCGGGTCGGGGAGGTTTGCTACAGCAACACGCACTGCAAGATGTGGGACACGGAGTCACAATGCGATTTTCTCATACCGAAACTTTTCGGAAGATGCGGATGCAGAGGAAGAGTCAAAGGTGACAGATGCCTACCAGCGTCTAGGCAGCCTCCTCCGAGGATTAAGCACAGGCCTCACGCAGGTGAGAATTTTTGTGAGATGGACAGTGTTTTGACAATTTCGGATAGTTGATCTTTCGCGGACGTCGTCCTTACTCCGTGGGAGTTTTCGCTTCTCATTATTTTGTCAGATGGTTCGATAAAAAGTGACTTTTCCATTACTAAACTTTTAATAGGTTTTCCTTTTCAAGGTACATGACATCGTTTTAACTCGCGCTTAGGAAATTAAGATTTGAGCCGTTTAGAGCAAAACGTTTCTGTAAATATTTTTAAAAAGTTTGTGCACGCTTCACTCCGTTAAGTGTCGAAGATCTTAATTATATGTTTGAAGAGGATCGATGAATTTTGAAAGAAACTAGTTTTTCTACTTCACTCCAAAAAATCGAAATACAAAGAGTATTGACACTATCACTAATTCAATTACTTTCCACTTTTTGAAAAATATACATGTGCATATGAAAATTTCAGTAAACTTTTTTTTTTCTTCTTTTTTAATATTGTTAAATATTATTGTGTTTAAAGAAAACGTTTTGACATAACATTTTCTTACTCACATTATTTCCATTCATGATGAAAATTCATATTGATAGTTGCTTAGACCATGGACGAAACTAACGTTATTTATGAACTATCGATACTTTGTAAGTACTGTCGACCATCGCCCTTCCACAGTACTTAGTAAGAAACTTACTAATTAATTTATTTTGACCATACTTTCTGGTAGTGTTGAAGGATGTATAACGGAAAGTTTGTACAATTCATTATTTCATGTATTGTAATTTTATTGTTTTGTTAGTATGTACAATCAGTCTAAAGCTTGTAATTAATTGTACACAATAATTCTTTATGTCCTATATTGTTATTAATTATTGCCCCTAGGTGAAGCCAATACTTATTGTTAAATCTAATTTCGGTTTTATATTATGTTTTTGCTGTTAAAGCTGAACAGTTGCGTCACGGCGAGGTCTTATTCCACCCGGTCTCACTTGGGCTGATCTGTGGCTCGGACGAGCAGTGCAAAGCCGCAGATCCGAACTCGATCTGCAGGGACGGTATTTGTGATTGCGTCGTCACAAACGGCACCTGCTCTGCTGCATCAACTGGATGCCATAAAGGCACGTTTCAGGTACAAACAAGTCATTTTAAACTTTTACAGCAAACAAGGTAGGAATGGAAAAATATTAGCTAGTTTACTAGTAGTACGTACTTGTTGCTTTTGTACCAGGTTATTTGAAGTATTAGTGCATTCTGTTCAGTTAGAACCAGAACAATGATTAATTTAAAAAAATACTAATTAAAGAAATTTCTAATTCATACTTTGAAGACCACTTGGGGACCATAATTTTAATTTCATATGGTATAAGTCTGAAATAGAGTAAGTATGTGTATAGAAGTAGGTGCTTGATGATGTCTGTTGTTGGGGCTGATGAGGTAGTTGGCATGTAGTTGGGTGTAATGCTACACGAGTATGGCTGGAATTGCGGGTGGACAAGTTTCCCCATACAGGTGGTGATGTTGGGGCAGGGATGAAGCCTGAAAACACTCTGACTGTTTTCCCAATGCTACTGCTTGCTGAATCTGGTACTGTTGGGTTCGTCTTTCGTCTGGGCCGGAGTGCTGGGAATAATGCTGATATCGTTGAGAGTACTGGAACTATTGGCACTTTAGTTTTGGTTATCTCCTGCTCAGTTTTCTATGGTTTTACAATTCTGCAAGCTAGTTTTTCAGATGTCGTGTAATCAGGATTCGATTCTCGATGATCGAAGTCACGAAAGCTCAAGTGGTAGAGCAGCGGCGTATTTAGCCGAAGGTCGTGGGTTCGAATCTCGCTCGTGACACTGACTTTTTCATTTCAACCAATACCTTACATAAAAAGATAAATTAATTGAAAAAAGTTATTTGGTCAATCGGACCACAAAATATAATCGGTTTTACATTGTATTATCCAATCGAAAATCGTGTTATAAGTGAGCATATGGTTCTCATAAATTATCATGATAATTAAAAAATACTTTTTCCTTTTTTTAAAATTAAAATGAAATATTTTAATATATAATGATATATAATGATTATACGTACAGCTAGAATGTTTTAAATAGTAGTTTCTCTTTCTATTCTTAATTACACTGCTCAATCCCGTTCATATCTATTTGGGATTCGTGTTCGATCTCGTAGCGTTTCTTATGCGTGTCGAGTATCAATGGCTTGTACATATTATTTTCATTTAACAAGTGGTAATCTCGCGATAATTGCACAACAATTACCGGTAAAACCAAGAGGAACATGTACAGACTTGGAAGTCTTGATTTTTGTTATCAATTGTACAAATGTAAAGGTTGTTAACTATTGTAACTCAATAAATGTATCTTCCTTTAGAATTACAGTTTAGTTTAATTAGATTAGCGTATATTTGCCAACAGACAATTTATTACATAAGCACTTCCCCAAGGCGAAGGTAATTTATCGCGGTATTTAGAAATTGTATTATACAAACGATTTTTTTAAATAATTACATTGCAGTCCATATTTTAACTTAATCTAAATCGTAATCTTCTGTCGATTAATTAATCTTTATGTAAGGTATTGGTTGAAATGAAAAAGTTAGCGTCACGAACGGGATTTGAACCCGCGACCTTCGGCTAAATACTCCGCTGCTCGACCACTTGATCTATCGTGACTCCGATTCACTCGGACACCAAGAGGTGCCTCTCAAGTGGTTAGAGCAGCGGCGTATTTAGCCGAATGTCGTGGGTTCGAATCCCGCTTGTGACACTGACTTTTTCAAGCGGCTTTACTCTTCTATTTGCTTAATAGCTGTCACAATAATCTCTTCCCGTAGATTACTGTCCCGTAACGGCAAAACTGTGATGCTACCTAACCAACTGATGATAGAACGGGAAGTTGACCTTCAAAAATCCTAGATGTTTAATAGTACTTTTACCCAAACGTACCGTATTGGGGAAATTTATTTACAGCTTTTGCCTTAAGCTCTTGACCAGTCCAAGAAATCAGGTGTTGGAATCTAAAATTGCGACTTGCGTTTTTAAAAATGACCCTAATAAATATTTATCCCAATCTGTGTTTACACGCTGACTTTCATCTGTCAGTTCATTTGTGAACACAGGCCAGTTGCACAAGGGGAAGATGACATGGAGCTTATATCCATGAGAGACTGTAAAGTAGGCTAAATGTGAAAACTCATGTGACAGACACTACCAGCGAGGAGAGTTAGAATGTGCTTAATTTTGCAACTAAAGTACGCGTAAAATGACCAAAATGCCCGTCGTTGAGTGGCGAAACGGGAACGCGCTTATTTTGTGAGAAGACACTTTCAATGATGACAGCATATTGTGCTCTCTTCTAAAAAGAAAGCGTTCAGTTAAAAAATGATCAATCAGAACCGTTTATAGCACGCCGAATTCATCCTGCCAATGAACCTAACGCGGGCTATTGTCGAGGTGATCAAATGTTTGCCTATCCCGACTTGGGGCAGTCATGACTTTATGCTTATCGGAATGGCAAGCACGTCGTGGATGTTCACCACCACGGTGTTTGAATTATTAAGTCACTGTTCTGGGAACCTTTAGTCGACACCGAAACCGCCAAGTTAGATTCAATCGATTCCGATCAATTTGAGTTAAAAGAAGAACGCTTTGATTACTAGAATATTACTAAGCTTTGATTATTAGAATATTAAGTTTTTACAGGATCGAAAAAAAATTTAATTAACACATTCGAAATTTTATCTCAACCTGGTCGTTTTCCGGATTTTGAACCTTGTATTATTATTAGGTATTGGTTGAGATAAAAAGGCAGTGTCACGAGCGGGATTCGAACCCACGACCTTCGGCTAAATACGCCGCTGCTCTACCACTTCAGCTATCAGTAGTAGAGCAGCGCTGTATTTAGCCGAAGGTCGTGGGTTCGAATCCTGCTCGTGACACTGACTTTTTTAACTCAACCAAGACCTTACATCAGGATTAATTAATTGAAAGATGTTATTTGGTCAATCGGTCCACGAAATGTAATGAACTTGTATTATTAGGTTAATCTCCTGAGCTAATGAAATTACACTTCTTTTATTTCTTATTATTCATTATTTTACCAATCTCCATAATAATTAAATTTTCCTATTAATCTTTTTGGATCTTGACATTTGATGATGCAAATATTTTTCAAAATTGTTCTTAATGTATTTCTCTCCCCTTTCATAAATACTGTTATTTGACCACATGACGTTTATATGCATAAAAGTGTAATTAATCTTTTTCTTCTCTATTTTTAACCCGTTATATTTCCTGGTCCGATTGACCAAATAACTTCTTTCAATTAATTAATCTTTACGTAAGGTGTTGGTCGAATGAAAAAGTTAGTGTCACGTGAGGGATGCGAACCCACGTTACACGCAAGTTGCAAGTCGAAGGTCGTGGGTTCGAATCCCGCTCGTGACACTAACTTTTTCATTTCGACCAATACCTTACACAAAAATTAATTAATTGAAAGAATATATTTTTAACTTTTATTTTAACCTCTGACTGTCCTAGGATACCAATCGTTTAATTATTGAAAGTATTTTCTAATTATAGGCGTTTCTATAATTTTATTCAATTATTGTTCTAAAAAAATTAACAATTGTGTAATTATTCTCCTATGTTTCTGAAAGAATTTCAATTTCTGTTGGCGGTACTTATTTACCAAACCAGGAGGTTCCTCGGTGGCCAGTCTTGCTGCAAGTTGGTTAAACAAATATGCATGCAACCTAGAAACTTTTGTAATTAACATTAAGTTTTATTTCCAGCAAAAATTACTTAGAATTTATGAAAATCAAAGAAATATTAATTTATTAAGTTTGGGGGATAAGGATAAAGAACTATAAATTTGTTAATAAAATAAAACGCCTTAAAACGTGATGTTAGTGAAACGGAAGAAATAGAAGAAACTGAAATATTCTATGAAATGGAAAGGTGAGTCAGACAAGGAAATCATTATCGCCAGAGCTTTTGAAATGCATGCTATAAGGTCGGTAAAAAGGTAAAATGAAAAATAGCGTGAATGATAAAAAGAGCCGAGTCATTTGCGCCCTCCTCAGAAATAATGACAATTATAAAGATTTCTAGCCCACTACGTGAAAAAATGATATGAGAATTGTTGTTTTCTTTTACAAAAGAATCATTAACCAATTTCCATTTTTGTAGTTGATTATTGTTAATTTATGAGTTGTTTAGTGTTTAATGTGTTACGTTTGTATATTAATAAATGTTCAAGTTTATTTTTCGTCCTTTTCGTACAGTACGTTGTGTAGTAGTTTCATGATTGTTTGTATCATAATTGTATTGTGCCACAACAATTTTACACAAAACCATTATGACACTTCAAGAATAACATCACACTTTATGCCCTGAAGATGACCCGAATAGAGGTCGAAACATTGGAAAAATTATGAAAGAGGTGTTTTCGATAATACTTTATTCCTGACCGCTCCTCACAAGTTCAACAAATTATAATAACCGGTTACTAAAAAACATACATTTTTACCCGAGAGGAACAACAAAACTAACATGGCTTTTTACGAGCATGTCACCATCAAACATAGTCATCAAGCCTCACAGTGAAAAACATATCAAGATGAAAGAACCAAAAAACCAGAAGAAACTAGATGCTTCTACAAATCGACGGATTTTCGTACTAAAATTAAGTTCCTAAACAAGGTATTCCCTACTCACATAATAAATAACTTCATCCAATTAATTAATCTTTGTGTGGGCACTCTCACCACGACTCACACAATGACACATCTACACGGAAAACAATCACTTTCAGCCTGAAGATGATCTGAATAAAGATCGCACCGTTGGCACGATAAAGAAAATGTTTTTCTAAAACCTACGTCACACCAGACAGCATCTCACGACCTCTAAATAATCATTAAATAACGGTCACTAAACACCACACATTAAAAATAAGAGAAAATTATTTCTGCATAAATGAAACAATTTTTTTTTTGTGCAAAAATTTGTTTTTCGGATTTTTTTTGAGACTTTGTCTAGAACTAACAATAAAATTTAAAAAGTATGGTATAAATATATTACACAAAACATTAGAATCAAAATTATGTAAAAAGATTCCTATAAAGAATTAAGGTCGGAAGAAATAGGGACAAAATAGAATGTGGCAGATGAGAGGAAGTTAGAGTTAGAAGTGAGTTAGAAGTGTTGACATCCGCCCGTAGAAAGAAAAGATCGTATTAATAAGGCGTTAGAGGCGTAAAAGTGGGCCGGAACCGCGTTCAAGGATTTAAAAAAATAGAAACGTCTCTCTTTTTAAATCTCAAAACAAATGAAAACTCAAAGAATGAATGGAAAGAGACGAAGACTTAAAAAGTTAAACAGAAAAGCTGATACATTAATCTTTATGAAAGGTATTGGTTGAGATAAAAAAAGTCAACGTCACGAGCGGGATTCGAACCCACGACCTACCTACCGGTCGAACTTTAGTGACATTACTTCATTTTGCTTATTAAATCCATTAGGTTACGTGGTCGGACAGTCCAAATAAATTGTTTTCAATTAATTAATTATTAAGTAAGGTATTGGTAGAGATAAAAAAGTGTCACAAGCGGGATTCAAACCCACGATGTTCGGCTAAATACTCCGCTGCTCTACCACTTGAGCTATCGTGGCTTCGATCCATTCGGACACCAACTTTCCATCTCAACCTGTCATGTTTTAAACATGTATGATAATTATGATGATGAAAACTAGGAAGTAGGATTTTGTTCCTACTAAGGCAGCCTTCTGGTTTATTGTACTTTCTTAGTTCTTTAGTTCAGTCCAATCGACTCGATTTTTCTCCTAAGAAGTAGTAGGCCAATAACTGTCTTTGAATTGTAAATCGATTCCAGGGTTTTATTTGCATCCCGGGTTATGTCTTTGAGTGATTGCTTCGCATTCAAAGATGATAAGGGTGGCTGTTTCTTCATCCTCATTTCTTAACTATAAATGGGCTCATTATTGAATAGTTGAATATGCCCATGTTGTGTGGTTGTTTGATCAGATGCCAGTGACCGATTAATAGTCCTACCACTTTTCTGAGTATAGCCCTTTCTAACAGTAGCATTGAGTTGCCAGTCTTGTTGAGGGTTGTGCTAGCAGAAGTTGATTGTGCCTAGGGCCCCTACAGTTTATTTACTCCCCCTTTTGTCTTTTTTGGATCCATTCTGTGATGAAGGATTCCATGTTTGTTTTTATTATCCCAAGAATAGGTTCAAGACTTATACATAGTTTGCAGATCCCTCTCTGGCCAGTGTGCCTGCCCTATCGTTACCTAAAATTCCTTTGTGTCCTGGTATCCAAGATATTATTGTTTTTCTCCAGGTTTTGTAGATTTTGCAAGTATTCGCTGACTAGTTTTAATGGATATTTTTACATGCTAATGTTTTAATTGCTTCTTGGCTATCCGATTTTATGAGGTAACCAGTGTAATCACTTTTATGATTTTAGACAAGCATTAATGTCATGCATTTTAATGTATTCATGATATTGAAAGAATGAGGTATATTTCCTTCATGAGTTTGATTGATCATGTTTTGAGCTTGTACTAAAAACGCCTGATCCGGTTCATTCATGTGTTTTGGAGCCATCTGTATATTACATAATTGTATCTCATGTTCTCTTAAATTCTTCTTCTTATTTGTAGTCTGTTGAGACTTTATTGGGTATTGTAAAGAGTGTTCCCAGGTTCATGTAGTCAGCTCCCATTTTTAAGTATTGCTGTCTGATTTTATTCGTTAAAAAATGTGTGCCCGATATTCTCATTCAGTTTGATTGTTTCTGGGGTTTAAATGAACTGATCCTAGTTTCTCTTTAGCAGATTTTCTAGTACAATTGAGAGGGCTGCTTTCATTGGCCCTGTGATCCATTGTTTTATCAATCTTTGTATGTTGCCTAATTTATGAGAGACATATGAAAGAACTTATCTACGAATCAATACATTGAATATATTTTAGAAGATTTAGTTTAACTGTGTGTCTGAGAGATATTGAGAGAGTATGACCATCAGTTGACCAATTTGGTGCAAGGAATGTTTAAATTATTCCATTTTTAGTTATCGAAGCGGCTGAGAGTTCAGTGGATGCTATTCAAATGTTAATGGAATGGGATTTGATTTAGTTCAAGGGCCAAACTGGATCCAAGTGTCAATATCTGTTAATAATAGAAAATGTCACCCCCACTGGAATTTACCCAAATGCCAGTCAATAATTCATACCCAACTCAGGGTCAGTACTCCATTTAAATTTTTATTTTCGGATTTATTTTTAAAAGTAAGCTGAAACAACAGGGTCGATTAAACAATATTCTCCATTAATTTTAGCAAACAAATAACATAATTATAATTATGTTTGAGTGGAATCAAGGCCTAATTTAACATATTTTGCTTCATAGTGTAACCATCCTTAATTAAATTGTCGAATGCTGACTATCACCTAATATGCTCGCGTGATCCTAAAGCGAGGGTAGAAATAATAATATTATAAGAATTGAAACTTGGCCAATGTTCTAGGATTTAGTAATTCCTTAGTTGGTAAAACTATAAGATTCCCGCTAGTAGAACTCTAACTAAACAATATATTTAGGTATTTCTACAGCAGAGCGAAATAAAATAGCATTGGTTTAACATAATGAAGAATAGGGTTTAATTAATTAATCTTTAAGTAAGGTATTGGTTGAGATAAAAATGTCAGTGTCACGATCGGGATTCGAACCCACGACCTTCGGCTAAATAGGGCCGCTGCTCTACCACTTGAGAGAATCAAGAAACTCTATCGTGGCTGCGGTCCACTCGGAAGTCCGGAGTACATCTCTAATATTTTTTTTAAGCTTAAAACCCTAAGAGGAATTCGGATTTGCGCGATCATACAGTAAAATATTCAGCTCCTCTTTGAAATTACTCTGCTGGTTTCTTTTAACTTATCTTTGTCATTTTTTGATCAATTTAAAATCAGATTGCACCATTATTTTTAACGTACAAAATCCTTTAAATGATGTGTCAGGGTCATATTTGAAATTTTGAAGTTGAACTGGGCCTGAGATACCCTGAATAATTTTTCTTTAACAAAATTTTAAAATTTGGGACTAGACTAAAAATATTAAAACGTATTTTTTTTATAGCGTCAGTGGTTCAAATTCAGTCGGGCCATCTAAAAAGGGCACCCTGTATAATATGTATAGAGGGTGATGGAAGAATATCGATTACTCCACCACCTAGCTGAGGGAATTTTATGAAAATAGGAAAGAATGTATTTTTTATTTATTTAGAAATCGTGAGATGCGATCTGGTGTGATGTAGGTTTCAGAAAAACATTTTCTTTATCGTGCCAACGTTTCGAACTTTATTGAGATCATCTTCAGAGCCTGGGATTTACAAACATTGTTTACATACAACAATTACATTTTGGATTTGGAAAAGTTTTTATTCATTTTACATGGTTCCATACTTCTGACTACGTGTAATTCTTTTAAATTTTATTATTTTTCTTTCACTATTTGATTACATTTTTATTTTACATATTTACACTAAACATCAAGATGTTACAATAATTGTTATATATAAAATTATTATTTATATAATTATTATAGGAAATTTGTATCCATATTATTAATGAATTGGGTGGTATATTTTAAGAATTGAAGTTCCAGTAGTTGATCTTTTCTTAGGTGCCAAGATCCGTCCGTTTGAAGAATGATTTATTAGGATGCTTCTCACGTCATACATTGGGCAGCAAAAAAAAAGTTATTCCAGTTCTGAATCTCTGCTACGCAAGGACAATTAGGTTGTTTTATGATGTTAAACCGATCGAGTATTCATGGTGTCTCCCATGGCCGCTTAGCATAAATGTCAGGTTATGGTTCAACCTTATAAGACAGTCTTTCTTTTATTGTTTGGAAATATTCTTTTGTTTGATGACCCTTGACAGAATATTTCCATATATATTCCCAATTTTCAAATGTCTTTCGGCACATTTCATTATAACTGATGTGAATTTTTGAATAGCTTCCTTAGCAAGTTTGGCCGCTTCCTCATTTCCATGATGGCCAGCATGTGCATCCACGTTATTGTTGTTCCCCATCCTTTCTCGTTTAGTATAGTTATTGTCTTATTTCATACATTTAAGAGTGAATGAAACCACAAGTAACTAATTGAAACTGTCCTTCTGGAAAAGGACAAACAGAAACGAGGCACCTGAGAACCATTTGCCCAGCCTAAAATCATACAGCTAATTGCTTATAGTTAATAGCATTCGCGGATGGTTAAAAAAAAGCTTATTTTTAGTATTACAAAAATAAGAAAGTTTTCGAACACCACAGTATTGTTTACGTAAATGGTCCTGGTTTATTTTCTCACCAGGCTCTGTAACTTGTCTTTTTTTCAAGTTCTAAGTGTTCACTACAGTTTCTATTATATTCTAGTGTCGGCGAAGCGGAAAGTGCATTAGCTGGTACATGGTCTGCGATGGGAGGACAGACTGCCCTGGAGGTGAGGACGAAGACTGCAGAGGACACTGTCCAAGGACCGCTTTCAAATGCGCCAGATCGAAGCCGCACCAGTGCATTTCTGCAGGACTCAGGTGCAACGGGATTCCCGACTGTCCAGCCGGCGAGGACGAATTCAACTGCAAGGATTTGGCAAACAGGGGTAAAACACATCTTTCAGATGAATACTGTTTACGCGTTAATATTTTTGCAACAGTTTTGGATCCAAACACCACTGGATTTACAACTGAACTGTACACCTTCTCCTTAAGGAATCCCCAAACATAGAAATCCATGACGGTAAGAAGGGGGGAAAGAGGTGACCACAGATGACTCCTCCTCTGGGGTATTGCTTGCTAAACCAGGCACGCACTTGTTGGATGTATGCATACAGTTCACTATTGAATATTGGTGAAGATCTAAGGGTTAAAACCCTCGAAACATCTGATATACTTAGAACCAGTTTATCCACATGAATAACTGTATGTGCCAAGAGAAAAAGAACATGGATGTGTGTCAGACATCGTGGTCATCATTTTGAAAACAATTTGTAACGTCTTCTGCTTGTAAATCCTTTAATAATTTATCGTGGGAAAATTATAATACTGAAAACAAACATTTCTATTTATCGTCATCACCTGAGTCGTGACCATTCGCAGGTAGTCGAGCATTGATTCGCAATTAGTCTACTACAATCAGAACGGGTTATGAATATTCTTGTACCGTTTGAAAGCTTAAAAAATAATGAACTTTTCGTGAATTTTGACAATCTATAGGATTTAAACGCAAGGGCATACCTAATTATGCATTATTTCTTAAAAACCAAACTTTGTGGTATTTTTAAAATTTGAGCATTTGCTAAGGTTCTTAATTGAAAATTAATTTTCAGACAAAAGTAATAATTTGAGCGTTTTCGAGAAAAACTCCGAGACACGTGAACTTTTATTTATATCTTAGTTTCTCATGAGCTAAAATTGTGGATTTGTCTCTCCAGATTAGCAACATACGAATGGCAAGACACACATCAGTGTACATTTTTGAGGGGGTGTTGACACTGAATTCAATGGTGCAAACGGTTTTTAATTTAGTGCAACCGTTCTCAAGTTATTCCCAAAAAACTTTTTCTGAACATTGGTCTTCTGATAAATTTTTTTCAAACTTCTTCAACCAAGATCAAATTTATATATTTATGATTTTAATCGGCAGTAAAATAAATTGCTCAAGTTTGTATTTTTAGAACGAAATTTGCACCAGGTAAGTTAGCGTTTTAATGAGCTACACCCAGAGCGCCTTGTTAAGCGATGTTTTTTGAGAAAATTGTTGCAAATTTGTCTTTTAGTACAAGAGCAATTATTTTATTACTAATTAAAATTATAAATAAATGTTACATACTCGGCCCTACCCTTATCTATTGTAACCCTTTACCTCCTTCTTTATCACATCTGCACGTATGCATTACCAACAAACCCCTTCCTTCTTTAAATCCCTTAAGCCTTTCCAGAAATTACGTTATGAAGTTTTGTCTCTCTCAAGATGTTTTCTTCTTTCCTTTTTATTGAGTTATTTTTCCTTTTTTATTTTCTGAAAGTGGCGAGGATAATAATGAACTCAACAACTTTTTTTCCCTTCTATAGTTTTTATTTGTCCGCAATGCATTTTGGGGTCATCTTCCCGGTTCCCCAAAACCATTAGGGGAGCGGAAAGATGGCCCCGAAATGCATTGCGGACAAATAAAAACAATAGAAATGAAAAAAAGGTTGTTAGGTTCATCTTTACCTCTGTTAATGGACCACATTGGCAAATTGGAAAATGTTTTCAATGATGAAAAACGAATACTGTCGTATTTATCAGTTATTTCCATTAAAATGATGACATGAGTCTTTCTTTTCAACGGAAAAGTGTCACAACTTTCGATGATATCAAAGATCGCGCCTTTAAAAGAAAAATCTCATTTTGGGTTGACTCTGTAGAGAAGGAAAAGGTGGAGTAGTTTCCTGTGTTAAATATTGTTTTAAAAGAAAAACTGGAGCTTGCGAACGGCACGTTGATTGATGAAATATGGAAACACCTTAGAAGTTTGTAGATGCCCTTTTAGCACTTCTTCCTAACAGCTTGAGATACTGCTATACTACCTCGAGACAGCTGCAAGACCAATGGTGGGCAAACAGTTTTCCGTTCCGACAAGCCAATAGACTTCAAACTCCACCTTGAAAACTACTTTCGAGTTCGATACTTACCACCGTTTTTGATTCCGTCTGGAAAACAAAAAATTTCAATCATTCGTTGAAAAAGGAAAACTTGGTCTTCATCCATTTGCCCGAACTTACCTATGCGAATCCGGATTTTCTATCTGTACAGCCATCAACACACAATACCGAAGCTGTCTAGATGCTGATCCGGACATCCGGCTGCAAAAAATTAGAACAAACAACTCCAAATTTTGCAGGTTAAAACAACCTCACTCTTCCTATTAATTGATATTCATTAAATCATTCGTGTTCAAATTATTACTTTTGAAATCGGCTCGAGTTTTACCTAACTATGATTCCGTTCTGTCTAATTTCGGTGTTCCGGATTTTGTATATAAAGTCCAGTATGTCCGCCAAAAGTTTGTTTTCTGTAGTGATATCCCTCTCAATCACCTGATTAGGAATGGACTGTCCAATTATAAAACTTTAAGAAGAAGAAGAAAACATACTTTATTTATACATTCTAATAACAAACAACTCAACTTTTCAAACTTGAGATAGAACTTGAAGTTAAACTGTAAATATGTACATATATACAAAAAAAATACTTTCGGAAACAAAAGTATTTTACGACATGGAAAGAATCCTATGTCGGAGGCTGTCTGTTTCTTATTTAATTCTTATTTTATTATTTATGTATTACTGGTAATTATTAGCATTTATCAGTTAAATTCACTTATTAATTCATGCCAGTTTTACATGTTTGGCGGGAAAATTTTGCAATATTTTTACAATTATTTATATTAATCCATTTATGTTTTAGTGGTCTAATTGACCAAGTTACTTCTTTCAATTAATTATTCTTTTTATTTAAGGTCTTGGTTGAGATAAAAAGAGGCAAAAAGAGGGAAAATTCGAACGGTTGTAGGTTAAGATGCGGAGTTGGTGTCCGAGAGGATTGAAGTCACGATAGCTCAAGTGGTTTAGAGCAGCACCGTATTGAGCCGAAGGTGGTGGGTTCGAATCCCGCTCGTAACGCTAGGTTTTTCATTTCAACCAATACTTTACATAAAGATTAATTAATTGAAAGAAATTATTTGGTCAATCGGACGGCGAAATAAAAAGGATTTAATAAGGAATACGAAGTATATCTTCACTAAATCTATCCGTGGCCATTTGATTTGTCGCCGAGAATCGAGTCCTGATTACACATTTGAAAAATGGCAAAAAGGAGGGAAAATTCGAAAGGTTGTAGGCTGATATGGGGAGTTGGTGTCCGAGTGGATCGAAGCCACGATAGCTCAAGTGGTAGAGCAGCGGCGTACTTAGTCGAAGGTCGTGGGTGCGAATCCCGCTCGTGACACTGACGCTTTTATCTCAACCAAGACATTACATAAAAAGAATAATTATTTATATCGTTCAATAAGGATTTAAAAAGGATTTATGGAATCGATCGTATGCCTAGTTAACGAATACGAAACTCAAGAATAGGATACTCGGCCATGTAATGAAACCCATTTTATTTTGCACCGGAGTTACAAGTAGAACAAGTATCATTGAAGTTTCCTTCTCTTCATGGTCGCGAGTTCAAATTCATTTGTTCACATCTCAAGTTAACAAAACCAAAAACTTCAAACAACCGGTAGCTTTCTGTAGTCGTGTTGGTTGGGTCGAAGATTGCCAAGGATTCATCTCTTCGTAGTATGAATAGTGCCTCGATGCTCGCGCACTATTTAAACAGTCATCCCTGTGAGCTACTCTAGCTTTGTCCAGAAGTTTCTTTGAAAAATCTGTCCAGTCACTTATGTTCTCCCATGAAAAGGAGAAACCAAATACCAGATCCCAAGCCTTAAAATTCCATTAGTCAAGCTATGCACCTGCCATTAAAATCCCAAGCCCTGATATAAAATAACAAAATAGAAACTTACAAAAGTGCCTTTTTTAAAAGAAGAATCATACAAAGACAAGGCGGTAAGACGTCTATCGAATGATGATTGATTTATATAAGTTCAATTTTAAACGTACAAATACAAATATACAGAATTGAGCTTATGACGTTTCAGCCATTTCGGTGTTCGGGCGGTCCGAGGACTGACCTCCGTCTTATCTATCCCGTCGCCCAAGTTAGGCTCCAGGGGTTTTCAGCAGTTAAGTTATTTCATCCCTCAATGCATGCAATTTTTAAGCCTACGAACATTCTCATACATTCTTAAATACATTCACGTACCATTCACACAAGTAGGATGACGGTGTACTCGATATTCCTCCAACACCCTTTACTTACAACATTTAGTGAGACTCGATGGGCTCTAAAATCAGAACCCAAAACGAACATATATTAACCACTATTTACAATAAAATATCCCTGTTTCCTCCAAAAATCAGAACAGTTGTGTAGTTTGTCATCTTCACATCATAGGACATTCTATCAAGCAACAAAAAGTGAATGGCTTTTCATTTTACATATATGCATTTATAAATTTGTGACAACCATCGATTTTTTCTTTTTCCTACTGTTCAATGATTAAGAAACTCATTTCATAAAAACAAAACAGATATTATCTTCTCTGTTAGAGATCTTTTATAAGAAATTGAGGATAAGTGGCAGAAAAGAGTGAATCCGTTGACTTTTCCCATCTAAAAGGGCGGATCAATACCGTCCATCTAAACTCAGCCCACCCGAAGCAATTGCAAAAATGGTCTCTGCACTCCCATGATTCGATTACACAAAATGGCAACGGTTCGCAAAAGTGTGAATATCATATGTCTGTATTGCCTTTACAATGAAAATGGTTTTCGAACCTGATAACTTTTGATTGGTATGTTATGGTTTTTAAATGTTAAATGTTTCGGCTGGATACTAAAATAAAAATTTAAAATAAAAGAAGGAAAATAAATAAACCTTACGGTTTAGTGTGGACTGTACAAAAAGAGGAACCATTCACTGGAGGTCGTCTCGTGAGGTTGGAGCCCC